TTTTTTATTCTCAACCACCTTTTTTTCGAAATATGCCGCTGCTAGTAACTTTTAGGTAGGCTCCTCGCACGTTTCGTCGTGTTGCATTTGCACCTCACCTAATTTTGGGTTTTCTTCAACTTTTTGTATAATGCTTCCATTGAGTTACAATAAATTTTTAAACTGAAGTGTGCTTTTGATTTGTATTAATTACATTTAATATTGTCAAATTTCGCAGAGAAAATTTGTAATAATTGTATGTACAGAATGCGCGGATATAATCCTTAATTCTACTCCTGTAATATAAATTGGATAAAGGTTAGGGTCTGGTTTAGGATTAAAAGTTAGGATTATATTCGTGGATTCTGGACATGAAATTATTACCAGAAAATTAAAGTCGAAGTTCTTCAGCCACCTTGGACATGTTCTGATGTTCACAACACTCACGAATAAATGGAAAGCAGGTATGATTCGTCTAAGTGATTACGAATTCCTTTGATTTTAGCCGCATTAACCACTGCTTATGCTGTTATTAGCTTGAAACTGTTTAGAATGTGTTCAAGTCTTTCCAGCGTAATAAATTTCGTCGGAATTTCCCCGTGAGCATTACGACTTCTTTCGGACCATTCAGGAACAATCAGATTGCTCCATAAACCAAAATAAAACTTGCCATCTAGTAGAACTAGTTATTGTTTTCCAAACTCATTAATAATTAACAAGCATTAAGTCGTATGACAACTCGAGGCTAACCTCGTCTTCATGCCGTTTGGGGGTTTTCAGTGCATGGAGTTTTGTTTTGAGTGCGATAAATCAAATAATACTGCTTCTGAATTGATTGGTTTACCCCATTCAATGGCTTAGTCACAGATATTATAGACCACCTATTCAAAAACGTGCTATGGCGAGGCAAACCATAGCGTGTTACGAAGCTTCTTTCATTCGAAATTAAAAAATAAACGATATTGAAATTTTGGCATTTTTCGCGTAACCTGCAGCAGGCCTCTTCCCCATTTTAGAATAGTTTAAGTCTCTAAATGTCATATACGTTTTTAAATGTGGGGTTTACTCATGCAATAAAAGCAACAATGCATCTTCATGCAAGATGGCATCGCTGTTGTTCAATAAGTTCTTTATACAGAAACTATTTACATTTACCGCCAACCCCATACCTTGTATTATAGACAATACACGGTCGGCACCAAAACCACTTTATACCTGTTTGTTTGATAAACCACCAGAAAATATTATTATTTTGATATTTTGGCGTAACTATAACAAGCATTTGTTATAAAAATCAAAACATGGTATTTTTCTCTCTATATAAGTAGTAATTATAAATCAAAACATCTTAGTTTTTATTGTCAGTAATATTTCACATTTTCTCGGCTGGCATTGTGTTTGCATGAATTTACGCACAAAGTCACAGAATGCTGTCGATTTGGACAACTTAAACAACTAATGATACAGACATATATATATAGCAAGAAGGTATCATTGTTTATAGTGAAAGAATTTTATGGAAAATTTTTGGCGACTCGCTTGGGCCTTGTTTTTTATTTCCTTAAGAAAGCTTTCCATTTGAGGCAGATTTTGTGAATTTGAAGCAAATACCTTTAAACAATTTATGTATGATTTATGCTTCTGCCTGCATGGAATTATGTGATACTAATAGGAACAATCTGCTACGATTTGTGAGTATGTGATTGCGTGTGATTCATTCAAAATTCTCGTCTCTTCTGGTATAATTCTAGCATGACTGGACAAGTTCCTAGTTACCTCGTTCGTAATTTGGTCGACGTTGCATTAAGCAGAACAGAGCCAAAGTCAAGGATAAAGTCAACAAAAAGGACGTCATCCAACAAAACATGCTTGGCAATCTCTACAACTCGTTTCGGAGAGCAAGACGATAGATTGCGGGAAGTTAAAGCACTTTTGAAGCTGCACAAACGATTTGAAAACAATGCCGAACGGATATTATTCAATGGAGTTGCTAAAACCACTGAAAAGAATAATGGACGTATACATTCAAGTAAACTTGGTTCTCAACACCTAAACACAGAAGACAGCTACCTGAGCGAAATATTTTCAAAACTATCGCTTCCTCCTTCGCCAAAACTGCCGGCTTTACCTAGCAATGAAATTGATTCTAGAAACTGTGTCGAAAAACGGTTAACTCTTTTGAAACAGAGAAACGACATGACCCAGGATATTGTATTACCTGCTTTAACTGATAAACCCTTTAGTTGTGGGCACGATCCGCTTTGTACTGATAGTTGGGTTGAGAGCAATTCAAAAGTAAAAGGTTCTAATCTAAATAGTACGGACAGTCTTGGTCTTCTACAAAACCTAACCGTTATTCCTCTGACAAAAGAGAATTTTGCATCATTCGATTCATTTGGAGCGCATTACGGGGTTCATTCGAACTTCTCTTCTCGTAGTTCTGTCGGAAAACCACGGAATATGAAAACCCCCGCACGAATCGTTGTTCCAGATTTAGAGGATATATTTTCTTTTTCAAGTGTCATGTCGAGAGTGAATTGGATGAAGTAACGGAGCGGAAATGCAACTCTGTGGTTCGGAGTTAGAAGAGGAACATATTGAAACATCAATGGCTGTAGTCGAGTATAAAAAGAATGTGCAATTTAGTGAAAATCTACATGAAGTACATTTATATTCCCCTGTGCAAAATCATTGGCCACGAAAACGGCGAAAGAAACGTCATAAAGATCGATAAACACTTTGGGTTTGAAAACTTGTTAGCTTACTATTATATAGTCTTTATAAAGACTGATTTTCATTCAGGAAAATTATCCGCATACATACAATCCGAAACGGAATTCATGTTAAAGCTGTTGCTTTTGGTTCGACAACACTCGGAAAAAAACACACACCCTATTTTCCTGGCCCTCGGATTCAGTCCTGAAAATAATTTTCCTAAGTGGAAATCAGCCTTAAATCGTTAAATAAACGCCATAGTTACTGATACATGACAAAAAATTAATATTTCAAGCCAGAGAATCTATAGCTCAAACACAGACACGAAGGCTATCAGAACTAAATAGAATATTTAAGAGCCAATTAAAGAACAATTGAATTTAATCCGTCATTAATACGAGCGTATCGGATTTTCACTTTGTTGACCATAGGATTAAATCTTAATCTTTTTCTGCGTTGGCCTGGTCACATAACAATATATGAGTTTGTTATATGTTGTCAGAAGGCTAGAAACGCAATGTTTATTTAATATTTAAAATTGGTAAATAAGAAAAGTTAAGCATCTGGTTGTACAATTTAGAGCATTCATGTAACCAAGTTCGCTTTAATTGTGAGAAAAATTGATAATAGCAAGTCGCTGTGCTTCGATGAGAGGGCAGAAATAGAAAAAAGTTGTGTGTGGAAGGTGGCAGTGGTTACTTTTTCACGGATAAATCTTACCGAAGCGGATAAATCTAAAGCGATACCGATACGCTGTTCATTAAGTGCTTGGAGAATTTGGTTGCCGGTTTCAAAATTTTAAATATCTGTTTGTCGTATTGGTTTTAAGTGATCCTATAATATCACTAGTGAAGCAAGAATTAAATTTCGTATTGTTCGCGTACTGTAGAGAGTGGTATCGGTGTATTGGGTATGTAAATTGATGACGAATTTTATGAAAACTGTTAGTTAAGATTCAGAAAGTACAGAAAGAAGTTACACGCGGTTCTTTACTGCCTTGACAGAATACAAACCGCAATTATCGTTTTTCAACCAAGAATAGTATTGTTACCACCACGAAATTACAAGTTAACGTTTATTAACATTAAATCATTCTCAACGTTTTCTATATGCAAATTTCTTGAGACATTTGAAGAGAGTTATGATTTCATTTCTCATCATTCATGATGAATAAAGCTGACAGTTTATGAGCTCACTGCTCACAGTATTATTCACTCTACTTACTACGGACTTTGTGGTTGAAATCAGACAAAAATGTCGCTCATATCATTTAAAAGACAACTCAGCGCTGACTTAGAGCGAATCACGTCACGTAACCATGGGAATAGAAAAACGTCAGCTTACCCAAAGTCTGCTTCAACGTTTCGCAAACTGGGTAGCACGTCACAAAACCAGGCTAAACCGGCTCGAAGATTTAGAATCATGTCAGAGATGAAAACGAATAATTCAAAAAAAGACGGATGTACGGCACCACCGCCCTCCAGGCGTGAATTTTATCCTTCATTTCAGGGAACAAAGCAATGTGATTGGACGAGAGAATTTCTGGAGGGGAATCGCTCAGAAAACAGTCTGGTTAACAATTATCCTTCAGTTAACCAGTCTCTTACTCAGAGCCAACTGGAAAAAAACAGTTTAAGATATCCCGCAATAAATCTACCAACCCCTGGAGAACTTTTAGTCGAGAGGCAAGACACGCTGTCACAAAAACGTGGGCCGAGAATGGACCGAAACTCTACTGTTGCATTTTTACCTGGTAACCGAAATTTACATCTACAAAATCGTTCAGTTCGTAATGCCCGTGGAACATTTATACCCGATTCCGGAAATGTACCTGGAATGAACCTTTGGAATTCTCCTTTTTCAGGTAACAGGACCTTATGCAGGGAAACTATAGGGACAAAATACCAAATTTCCGACCGTCGGAAGAGACCTGCATATAGGTTAGTTGTTAACGTCCCAAATGCTGAAAGACAACGACCTGTTGTAATGTTTTCATATAAACATGGAAGAATTTGACCACATACATCCAGGATCAGATTGGAGAATCAAGGAAGAATCTCGTTTTAAGTTAGTCGGTCAAGTCAATCAGAATGCCTAAATTTTTAATAAATTATATATTCGAAAATTGTGCATTTTTTCCGGAATTGGTCAATATCGTTGCAGTCTAATTGGGTTACTATGAAATGAAAACAAATTTGCTGATTGTGTCTAAAACGAAATTCCTCCTTGGCTTGTTTGCTTCGCTGCCTTCACGAAGACAGTTTTATGTTTATTAATTCGAGCTTTGATCAAACAAGATCGAGTCATTGCAAGTCATAGTACCGTAGTACTATTTCAGATGTGTAATTGCAATATTTTTAACCAATCAAAATCTACTTCTGAATCTATATACATTCAATGTTTCCTTCTGCAACTTTAGCAATATAGGAAAATACGTTATAATAGATTAGCTATATTTCATATAGTTTTATATTGATAATTTACGTCGTAACAAAGTATAGTATTCGATACATTCCTTGAAACATTCTCTGCGGAAAACATGGGTATACCGTTCGATATTTGTCTTGCATTATAACGTCGTGAAGTATTATTTGAAATGTTTGCCTCACCATGCATGTTATAACAAAGTTGCTCATTCTTCATATTATATGAGGTTAATGAATCGAAACGCATGTTTCACAATGATGTCACATACTGTTCCTTTCTGGTAGGGAACTTGCTTCAAAGTGGTCAAACGTCGTGCCTTCAAGCATCATAGACATTTGCATATTTTTGTCTTATAATTTTGTCCCACGATTTCCCAAGAATTTGTATGGGCTACTGTTCACGTCAATCACCATAACATGTCGCACAGTTTCCCCTGATTTAGTGGGTTGACCACCACCGATACCCACAGTGAATTCTTCTTTGAGGGATTCTCTTGAAGAGTTCCTGGATGGGTCCTGTGTGTTATTAAAAACAGTTTTGTTCGGATTGCTTGTAACATCACAATTTGTTTGTGGTTCTTTCTGAATATAATTTACTTCACACTCTTTGGGATTTTCAATGGTTTGTCCAGAGTTTTCACAATTTTTGTTCTCGTTTTGTTGTTTTAAACTGTCGAATGGTTGCTCAGTCACTTCCAAGATGGGACATTCTGCGTTCCCATTTTGAATGGCTGATGTTCTATTGATATTCTCCGACTTTGACCCATTATGAGCGGTTTTACTGTCCGAGGTCTGCGATAACCTATTTGAAGGATCAGAGTCACAGTTCATTGTATGACTATTTCCGTTGAGATCTTCAACTTGAATATCTTTATGTGAGATTTTGTTTTGGCTAATATCGTGTTTGTATATCGCCTGGTACTTGATGTCATCGCTACTAAAACTCGGGGTATATCGGGGAGGATAAGTGCCATTTTCGACAGAAGAGGCTATACTCAATTTCAATGGCCAGGGGTCAAGACAAGTGCTTGCAGTGGTAGACGATAGCTTTCTTCTCTCGCGTTCTGTTAGGTCATTGAATGAGTACATCGATAAACCATTCTTTGAAGGTTCTTTCTTTTCTTTTTCCTGTAGAAATAGAGTTGTTTGTATTGAAGTATATTGCGGTTAAGGTACCTATCACGTTTGTTAATATAATACAACCAGGCGCTTTGTGGAGCTAAATACATGCATGTTTATTGAATCCTTTTCGGATGCATGGGAGAAGGGTGGTTTTCAGTTTTGCACAACTAAGCACAAAGTTTTTTCTTAATTCTCTACGGCTACCTAGACTGTTGACGATGAGAATGAAACTACCAGTACTAATAAAGTGATTCGGCTATGCAATATTTTGCATGTGTGTTGGTACGAACCGGACACACTCCGGGGACGAAATTAATTCTAGCTTCTGCTCCAGAATGCTGTTCTCCTGTCCATAACAGACAAGGAACATTGTGTGTTATAGAGCTGTTTTTCTTGCCCGGTGCGCCTTTTACGTATAGTGCCTTCATATTAGAGGACTGGCCGAAAGTATCTACTGAACTCTGCAGTAGTTTAAAAAGTATGGTATAAATAACTTACAGGAGAGCTTATTGAAGAAGGTTCATCTTTAGACTTCTTAAAGCTGCTTCGACTGTGTCCATTGGTACCAAACGGGTTGTTATGAGTTGTGAACCAGAGATCAACTTTCCTCCAAAATGCTTTGCGAACCTATATAGTGCACAGTGAATTAGATAAATTGGACTGAGAGCTAAAACAACACGTCTATATGCTGTAATCACTAGTCAGTAAACTGCTCAATCCTTTTTCAAATGGCTTTTTACTGCCTAATCCTTTGTCAAAGTTTATTTCCTCTATAGCCTTTGTTCTAAATTCCGTTCTTCATCTTTATAGATCGATTTCCTAGGTTACAGGCTTTAAGAAAATTTTAAGAAATTCAACAAAAATTTTGTCAAGCAATCTTTCTAAAAACGTGTCCGAGGCTATTAATTTAGCAAAAAGTGTTCAAAATTTAGAGTTTCAAATTGTTTCCTTACCTCTGTATTGAAAACGCAGTGGAATAAAAATATGAATAGCCCCTGAAAAAGCAAAAGGATAAAGATTATTGCAGGGTCGTCGGAAGGAATTGGTGTTGAGAGGCACAAGTTTCCAGGGCACCTTTCTGGAAAAAATGCCATTCTGTTTTAAATTTATTAATTTACTTTGAGAATAAAAGAGATACCGGCATTTGATGAATCTTGTATGCAGGCCAAAGGATACATGTGAATGGCTCTTCCACAGGCAATATTTATTTTACAAAGATCTCATTTTATTGATCTCATTTTAAACCGGCAAAATAAAATAATTGCGCAAATGCCACATTGAAAAAGGACACTTTGTGAAATCTTTATGAAAGACTTTTTGAGTACTATGTTACTTTTTTATTACTAATGGAAACAAAGGTACATAACTGTGACAGCTTACCTGTAAGGAATTAAATATTGTGAAAAGGTATTGAAACACAATCAGGTCGTCGTTAACACAGATCAAACCAAACGCCCAAGTAAGACCAAGCAATGGTAGAAGGATGATCGTTGACCTCACTCCGTACCTGAAATCAAAGATCATCTCGTATTTAAAGGGAATGTTAGATCAATTTAATGCATAGTGGAGCTGCTCTTGATAAATGTTTGGCAATCTCTTATTATAAGGATTTGAAATAAATATGGACTCAATCGGGGTATGTATACTGCAAAAAGAAAAAAGGTAGTTCTACAAGCTCGTGAACCATAAACGCAAAGCTTAACGAAAGAGCGAATGTTTTGACAGGCCTAATATAATCTTTCTAACATCTTCTTAATCCGAATATTCTTGAAGCAATGAGGGGAGGTCGAAGGTTTAGTTACGAAGAAGAACAACAATTGCATTGTATTGGCTGCAGATCGGAGCAATATCTCGATAAACGTAATTGCGAAATATGTATTGCGGAGAATGCGCCAAAAGTTACCAACTGGAGCAATTGGACATGTAAAACTCAAAAAATAAAGCTGCCCCTATTTAGTTTGTTTGACTCTAAAACTAGAGCCTTACTACAACTTCTGACTATTGGTTAAGAATTTGTGATACCATGCAAATTTGATGGGATGTCACCATACAGTATATCTACAGATCTGAAATATACACTTTTCACCTTTGTTTTACCTTATTGATCGAACGTTCGAATCCCTTTGGTCACTTGTTCTCAGCGAATTTATTTCTTTCATTACCTTGCATAAAATTATAATGTTGATCTGGAATGATAAAAGACGTGTCAATTAACCTATCCGCATTAGAGGAACAATTGGTACATCCATACTTACTATCATCACCAGAATAGCTGGGCCACTGAAGGTCCAGATCGTCGATTTATCTGTGGAAAGCCAGCAGCTGCGAAGAAAAGTAACGTTAACGTTAGTTCAACTCAGATAAATATTTTTACAAAACTATACCGTACAAACAAACATAAACCAACCTTGTTTCGGTTCCATACCCATCACGCAATAAATTAACAGACAAGAGAACGATGACAAACGGTAAGCCTAAAAATGAATTTAACATGGAACTAAAGGCATGTTTCGTTGAGTCACTTTAACTGATTGCATCCTGGACTCTCGATCGAATTTTGCAAGACAGTATAACCTACATCTAACTATAGCTTTTTATACAACCAGTGCTTTCCAGCGGTCGGTGCACTTTAGCTTATAATTGACTCTTGAAGGAGGCTGATGACAATTAAGATCGTCGGCGTGGTCTGATATACGTTTGTGAACAAACTTTTGTCAAGATATAACTTGATTTTCACAATGGGCGTTTAGCAAACTGCTTATTATTAGCTTTCAAGCCTGGTTGTATAAATTCACGATGAGCTTTGGAACAAAATTCTCACGAATCTCAAGTTTGTTTTTTCAATCAAGCTCATTAGAATGTAGTTAAAAAGTAGAATTCAGCCTACCCCAACAAAATGTGACATAAAATCTTCTCTTTGGCAATTGGTCGTGGAAAACTTTAACAATCAAAATATGCAGAAATATTCCTTCAACCAACATCCAGGAGAAGGCAACGAGCAAAAAATAATGAAGAAGGGCAGCGACAATGATGCATGCAACCTAAACAAATAAAGGATGCATGAGTATGATAACTGATGTGCTTCGCTTTTTGCTCTGAGTTAATGAATAATGGTAAAAAAACGAATACTAAAGAGTGCAATTAATGGACACATCATTCGAGTTGATGCAAAATCATTACCGCGTAGCGGAGTTTAGGAATCTACGTACATTTATTTTTAATAGTTGAGTGCAATCCGTGGAAATAATATATTCACCCATGATGTACTATAACACTTCTGTAGTTTATATATTCGGAAAAAATTACGGTAATTACTCTTCACGTCAAGGGTGATTGTATTGTATATCACACTATCACTCACTGACTGTTGACCTCGAAATTGTTAACTTTGACTCTTTTAGGCGGTGATAAGCTGATAAACAAACGCAGCTGTCCTCGCCCCTCATTTAGAACCACCCATTAGACCATTCCGCCCCCTAGCCTAGCCTAGCCTAGCCTAAATCTGTGGCAAGTTACCTTGTAGTCAGTTTCATCAATTCCTGCGAGAAATGTAACCTGCGCCAAGCCGATTGCTACGGCCAGATTCACATGGATAAAATTCCTCTCTGATCTTGCACCACTAATTTAAAGAAAGTAATTAAGTCATTTTAGTGATGATAAGTGCATGTGCTAATAATATGGTTGAAATATGAATATGTTTGCAAGAGATAATAAAATGGAGCACTCCAACGAATTAGCAGAACTCAACTGGTTAAATGAAACTTACGGTAAACACATTATAGCCAAAACTGTGAGACAAGCTCCTATTAGTGACAATGCACAGCCGATGTAAGTAATCAATTTCAGAGCTTTTACGTCGTTTTTCCCCAACTATATATAAGAGACAAAAACATCGTCAGCGACATTTCGGCTACAATATTAAGGCAATAAACGTTGATAGAATACGAGCTCACCATAGTTTCGTCGACTTGCATTAGGATACCAAAATGTGTTAGATGGTTACACCTGCACACAGACATATTTTCATTTGACAATTTTTCATCCAGGATACATCCTTCTGTTGACCAAATACCAGTGGAGCTACACATTTGATAATTTAGCGTTTAATACATTGGCTGTATGATGAATAGCAATAATCTTTAATAAAATCAGTAATAAAAATTCATTTCTAAAAATTAATTGCGTTCACACCCTATGCATGAACAAATTGTTCAAAATAATTATTGACAAAGTGGGACCATGTTATTTGGGTAAAAATCTATATAATATCATCATGCAGAATGCACTTACTCTATTTCACTTTTCCACTTGAAAAAAGCACACATTGGCTTCACTCCCAGACTGAAATTTGCCTGTGGCCCAAAAAATATAAAATAGTCATTATATTGACAATTATATAAGTGTGTAGCTACAAATAACTACAATCTTGGCCAAAACTATTGGCTACACTCTTATATATTCGGCACACTCGATCTGATCTTATAAGTTATTAAAATCAAATGTTAAAAACATGCAAGTTTCCGCTCAATTGTTTAAATATGTTTTAGGTAACCATCCAACATTGATTGTAGCGGCCAGTGGGAGAAAGAGGGAGAAATTTTCATTTTATTGTGGAAACGGATAAATTTTAACCGATTTATCAGCTCAACCTTGCTAGACTTGGGCTGGGAAATCAGGTTAGTAAATGACTTTTCAACATGAAGACAGCCCCGGTTGTTAGAAACTATATAGGTAACATTTTAACTTTAATTTGAGATAGGTCGGTCCGATATTTATATTCTTACCCTTAGATGAGATAAACGGATAACGATGTCATAGTTTGGAAGGCCACTGATAGGTGGTACTGCAGTACACGCGATCACGCGACTATTCAGCTGATAAGATCCAAGAATTCGATTTGTCTCCCTATTACAACAAAGGTTATATTCTTATTGCATTATATCTGATGTATCGTACGAAATAACTCTAATTAGATCAATAAAGAAGACCATGCATTACCTACACTCTTATTAAAATGAAAGACACAACCACAATGCTTAATTTAATAGATTGTTCATGTTCCCTCGCGCGATAGTGGAAGTTAAATCAGAACCTCGCTGAAGTATAGATATTATTTTCTTGTAGCACTACCATACTTCATGAAATACTTACGTTTCGACTTCGTTAAAGTACTGCGGTAGTTTCGTATCCAGGTTAAAATACAAAGCACTGAATACCTTTCGCTTGAATTCTGCAATAAATATAAGTTTCAAATTTTTGTCATATTGCACGTTTAAAGAGGTATACAGCAGAGGTATGGTATATGTTCCACTTTAAAATGTTTCGACACTTCTTTTTCTCTGGCTCACAGAGAAATTACTAAGACGCAATACATATCAGACCATACCTCCATTGTTGTTGACCAAAGCTTTACTTGGGATGAAGATTTGGTCAGACTGAAATTCTTTGCGAATTCGATTGTTTGACTCATTTCGAGGAAAAGTATAATTGGATAGAGGAAAGTTCACTTCCATTACTGCAGAAAAGATGAAGTTAGGATGAATTATATCGCATTGATAACTTTTTCAGTTACAAATTGTTGTCATTGAAGAGTTTAGAAGAACGCGCGTTTGAAATGCGCGTCTAAATGAAAACGTTCTCAAAAATGTGAATAATTATGCAGCTATGTGTAACATACCAACATTTGTATGCTGAACGGTCTCTGATTCGCCGGGCTTGTTCCAATTCTCTGCTATTTTGACGCCTTCGAATTCAACTTGCCTCGCTTGAGACAGCCCACCACTCTGGACTTGTAGCGATGAGTCATTATTATTTGTCTGATTGTGGGATGACAAATATTTTTCCATCATGTTTGCAAGTTTCTATACGAAGGAGAATAATTTTATAAAGCTAGGTTAAACATATGCAGCTCTATCGATCTTAAGGGGGGCTTACATGTAATCGCTTCGGCGCATCGGTTCTGCTCATAACAATGGGTGGTTTGCTTGTTTCAAAATTCGTATATCTGCATGTGAACATAAACTCTCTCATATTCATTTAGAAATATAGCGAACTAAAAACGTGTTAAATATTCTGAAAGTTCTTGATATTTTAGAACATGCATACGGATTCAAAATGTAAACATGCAAAGGGTAATTTGTTTATATATTACGGACTGTACCCCATCTTAAAAGTCTCCTAGAATCGAGTCTTGATTCACTACAATTGCTTGAATTCGTTTGTTGAATACAAGAAATTAATCATTTATTCGCAAAAATTTAACTTGGATCGTACCTTAACATCTGTTTTAGGTAATGGTGAAGTTTTCATTTTAATCGACGAACTTGCTGGAGAATACTTTCTGGTGGGGGTGGGTTTAATCTGTACTGAGCTCTGCCTCGTAGGTTGTCCATTGGGGGTTGAGGTAGAGGCTCCAAATTTTAGGGTACTTGCCAAAATATTTGTAGTTGTTAACCCGGTTGAAGTTTGAACTTTGGTAGCTGTTGGGCGATGCTCTCCAGTTGGAGATGGATTTATAAAGTAGGTTGTAGATGACACATTTTTTAAAGATTGCTTTGGACATTTTTCTGAAATAAAAAAGGTCAATTTCACCTTTACCAAGACAACGACAATCTGCCTGGCATGCCAGAAAGTAAACTTTCCCGGTGAGTCAGATATAAACCGAGGTAGTTCGAACTGGCGCGCATAACGCACATGTAAGCATTTCTTAGATCATGCAGTACTGTCTACTGAGCTTCCTACTATTACACGTTAAATACAAATCAAAACTTTTTTGCGACGTTGTCAGAGCAAGTCTTTTTCGATTTGCAAGCCTTTTCTCGTTGTATTCGAGGTGTATTCTTCACAGAAATTGCAAAAAATAACAAAAATTACAGTATATAACATAATTTAGGTGTGAAAGGTGTCGAATAGCGACCATTTACGGTCTTGGAGCAGAAAAAGAGATGTTCAAAAACCTCGGAAAAAAACCTCTTGTAAGTTATATGAGTTCTATAAACTCATAATAATATCTCAATACATATATTGTTAACTTTCGACACTATGTACAATAAAAAGATAAAAAGATAAAAGGTAAGGCGATTAAAAGTACTACTTTCGTCCTTCGGACCTTTTCAACAAATCGCCATTGTTTACTATATGGCGATTTGTTGAAAAGGTCCGAAGGACGAAACTAGTACTTTTAATCGCCTTACCTTTTATCTTTTTATCTTTTTATTGTACATAGTGTCGAAAGTTAACAATATATGTATTGAGATATTATTATGAGTTTGAGCAAAACTTTCTTGGCTGCAGCAACAGATATATCTATAGTTCTATAAAACGAGGTAGCTAACACTTTGCGGTGATATTTTGACATTATATCACTTACTTATGCGTGGTAGTCGCAGAAAGATAGACGGTATTTCTTCCTTTGATTTTTTTTCAAGAGTATCTTTATGCCACCACTGAACCCCCATTTTAAACGTTGGGTATTTTCCCTCGCTGATATGAACAATTATCATGTCGTAGAACGTTCCAAACTCTAGAGTGACGTTTTTTTGAAGGTAGTAACCTACAGTTCCTTGCTCACTGTAATAAATGAGAAGAGATTGAAAATATCCATAATAAAGTACTAAATCAATATTCGTCTTGAATAGCTGGTTATAGGGGTTCCCGCTTTATTTAACGAGGTTTCTTCGCGCGGTTCTGCAAGGCCTGGAAATGCGCAAAATTTACGTTTAGCCAGGCTCAGTCCAAACAGAAACTATTCGAGTGATTACAGACAACTACTAAATTAGTATTATTAAAAATCATTACTTACCTTTGAATGGGTTTCTGGTGCAACACAAGTTCCAAGGGTCCACATATACCTGATTCAACCCTTCGTATCCATAGCTTACACCAAGACACACATTTGCTAGTAAACATATATTCTCCATCTACAACCGACAGGAACCGGGTCTCGAGTAGTATATTAACCTTCTGATTGGAAAGGATTTTTTTCGGGTAGTCACCAAAATTCTTTAATCCTTTATGAAATGTTGCAGTCATTGGCGGTGGTATACCATTTTTCAAATTTTCGCGGTCTTCGTCATTCAAATTCCCCCAATTTGAAAAATTCACTTTCAGTGTATCTGGTAAATATAAATATATTCTATTCTTTCCTACAATTTCAACTCAAAAAGATCCAAACAGTTGTAAAATTATGCTATGCCTCTGTTATGGCTAATTTTCAGTTCATAGTTCGTGTTCCGTTCAACTAGTTCGTGTACAGTTCATGCAGTTCGTGTTCAGTTCATGTAGTTCGTGTTCAGCTCATGCAGTTCGTGTTCAGTTCATCTAGTACCGCGTTCAGTTATCCAATTATAACTGAACACGTTACGCCCCTGAATGGGTGGTCTTTTTTTAACGGAAAGAAAGAAAAAGACTCTGAAAAGAACGTTTTTGACGAACTGGGCGTTTATAAAACTGATACTCGCATTTAGAGAGATATATGATTGTCCGGAACAAAAATGTGCCTTATAGACTGAAACATGTGCATACTGGATAGGTGTTGGTTGTACAAGGTGTATAAAAAAACGTAACTACTGAATATTCATCAATTTTCACTTCTTCTCAATAACAAAATATCGCAGGCCCTTAATTGGGAGTCGTTAAGGTTTCGTTTCTTTCCACCCTCAAAGTGTACGTGTGATTGGTTTCCATGCGAGAGGGACAGCTAGTGCGTTACAGTGAGATGTGCGTTATATAAAAGATTTGAATTCTATATCAAATTCCTCATACATTTAAATCGATTAAGAAAATCTGGTGTTGGGCATATAAAATTTAATCAGCCTACCGTTACATGTAGATGTTGGGTCCTCGCAAGTGTTTGTGTTGATGTTATAGATTTTCCCGTTTTCACAACTTTCTATACTAGCATGACCTTGTGGAGAACATTTTAGATACTTTTTACACTCTGCGGTCGGATAAGATTTGTTTTCTCGATTAACGCATTCACCTGGTAAAAAAAGTCCAAACAAAATGGTCCTTATGAGCAGCTATGTAAAGTATTACACAAAGCGATAAACGGGGTCGCGCATGGACTCAAGTGTACCGAGAGGGACTATAGTATACCCCTGCGCTATTTGGATTCCCATTTGAAGAGAAACAGTTCGCTGACAAAATATTTACATATTTCAAAGAATAAATGAATTAGTTCAGCTTGACTGTAAAGTTCTCATATCAAAAGAAAATATGCAAATATTTCGCTAACGAACTATTTTTCTGCAAGTAAGAAAGAAATATAAATCCCGGGAAAAATGTCAATATATATGTAGACAATAATGGGACTTAAAGGACCTACCACTGTAATGGTCATCTATACCCTCATCATCCTGCACAAAAAGAAAAAATATATTACAATTTGCATGACTGTAGTCCATGCATGGGCTTATGGAGCGCAGGCGAAGATGCAAATGCCCACCAGTTAACGTTACTACCTGCGCTGCCCATAAAAGCACCCCAACATTGCTAAAATTGCCATCATAATTTCGAAACCCTTTGGCGAGAACCTGATCGTGGCTTTGTAGAATGTATTATTCTTTTACGGATTGTTTTACACATGCAACAGAGGCAGTTATTTTGAGAAGTTTACATAATATTCTAGAACATGCAGAATTCATTAAAAAATTATAATCATACTGTTACATGACCAAAAACGCGTCCATGCTCTTTGTCAAATATTTCCTCTATAAACCTATCCCGCAGTATGCTTGTTTACTTTAATTATTTCTACGCAGGCGATGCATGTATAGCACATTACTCATCAGCACAATTCAAGACCTGAGCATTAAGAAATGTCATAATCCCATGGATAGTTATACTGACTGCATTTTGATTTGAATTGCGTTATCTACAGCAAATCATTCAGAAAAAAACTGGTTTACCGAAAATACTAAGCTTTAGCCTTATCTACTCGCGCATGCATGCACCCCAAGCGCGTGCGTCCTTTCACATGCATTTGAATAATATATTGATGATTGAAGTAAAGTAATTTTTAATATAGTTTTTTATTTTATACGTAATGAAAATTAATCTCTTTCATTGAACTTTTAAATCATAGTGTATCAATTTGAAGATGATATAGCTATGTATATTTTTCAATTATTGGTTTGCGGACACCTATATTTTTATTAAAAATAAAGTGGTGTAAGAACTCTCATGTTTTTTATTACTTATAACGAGAGCTTATTTAGGCCCATTGCGCTAAGCTATAGATTTCGCCTGCTATGAATGGATCTATCTAATATACTAAAACGGTAATTAAACTTTAAATCTAACGTTGAAAAATATGGTAATTAAGTCAAATTATAAGTGAAAGATTTCCAGTAGCCAAACAGTCGCAGCTATTTTTGGTCTTTCAGTGTCATCGATTTGAGTCAGTGGGAGTCGACTTAAAAGCCAGACAAATGCAGTAATGTGAGTTATTAATATTTTCACCAAATCATCCGTTCTCAATTATATAATTATGGGCCATGCATTTGATATGTTTATGCCTAAAAAGACTAGACCTAGGCTACTTACCACAAAAGCGATTTAGATTCTCTATTAATTATCATTGTCTTTTCGGCAGCTTTATGCATTCTTTCACCGGCTGTATATTATTAAGTTCTCCGTCATTACTCCGTAGACGTGGGTTTTCATGAAGCGAATTAACAGCACTGACATGTAAATTGAACACTTTAGTATTTATACAATCCATATGCGTGCTTTTGTTAAGTATTTACCCTGGCTTTGATGGGAAATGTCATCTCATTCATTCGCGGTAACGGTAGAACTTTTGGTTGTAATAAACAACCATGCATGCACTGATATTGAATCACAGTTAACAGCTTGTAGCTACGAACATTTCATTTAAAATTCATCCATGGTATATTTGACTTGTTCTTTCTCATCCATTATTGTTGCCGTGGGCTATGTTTGGTGAGAAAGAATTGAAATCCTCGTATAGAAGTGCTTTATGTCAGCTTTTTTTAAAGTGTTTTTCTTGCAAGAAATTAATATAATTAAAGTCTTGGAATGGAATGGAATGGAATGGAAGTAGAGTTGTAGATAGTTACCATTTTCCCAGACGAATTATGGTGAACCTTTTTAAACGAATTTGTGTTTTCCAGTTCGAAGATTTATTATCATATAAAGAATGAACTATTCATGCAGAAATCATTATCGCGCCTTTGGCTATATATAGTTTGCATCTTAAAAGGCTTATTGTGTAAACTAACTTGTTAACAGGGAATCCTATCTCGCACATTTGCGGTGAAAAGCGTTAAAATTGCTGTATTCTAGCTTGATTCCCTTGTTCATACGGTTTTTCACCTTTTCAAATCCATGCATCTCAAGGTTTATAAATACTGTAAATATAAGTAAAATGAGACTTCATGCATTTAAGGTAGTTTCTACAACTCTTATGATATTAGGAATAGGATCCGCTCCATCTTCTCTTTGTAATCCTATTGTAATCCTGAATTTAGCCGGTTGTATTCGTTTTAGGTTATATTACATTTATTCAAATATTGTATAGGTATATATAGAGTTTATTAACTGGAATGGACAGCAATTTCATGACAACGGTTTGTCTCCCACCTATACGCCCGGGAAATCACTTGCAAGGCCACCCACCAGCCGACTTTGTAAGAACTGCTGGGCGAGGGATATTCATAAAAAACGACTGTTCACGGTGCAGCAAGCAGCATCATCGACGATGACGGCCCAATAATCGGGTCAAGAATTTTTGCCCAAAAATGGGGGTTTATTTAATGTTTATAAATAAATGCTATAACATTCAACACTTCGACTTGATCAGGAAATTGGAATTCAGCCTTGATTCGATCGCTTGGCCAAGGCATTGGGGTTGGGCACCAGTGTACCTTTTACAGAACAAGTATATCCTTGATCTAAATTATACGAACTTGTGAATAAACATCCAATCCGTTACAGACGCTGCGATTATTTTGCCAGTCTGGTTGAGACATTCTCTTGTTCACGATGTCGTGATATCATGTGCATGGTCGTCTTCACCGCAGACGCTTCTCATGCAAAAAATATATCTTAACCGTTAATCCGAAAAATAACGGCGAATGTGTCTAAATATATAGCTATTCAAATTTTTTAACTAGCCAAAACACAAGCGTATTAATTTAGTGCTAAAAGAATTAACGCCGCCTCAAATGCAACACTGTCTGTTAATTTACGTCAATTATACTGGTCAATTACGTCAATGGTTATCATTTTAAAGGAAAAACAGTTGAAATAGATCCAAATTGAATTTTCTCCAAGCAGAAATTTTAACAATAAAGACAATAAAATATTCGGATTATTAGAAAGTAAACGCCACTTTATATATATAGATGTATATTGGTAGAGCCGAATTCCTAATTTTTGTGAAAACAAAAAAACTAACAAGGAAGTAAATTTAGCATCGTTAGCCTAATATAAATATTCGCTAATCAACAGTTTCAAACAGACTATTTCTATTATGTTGAACATCTTATCGTCGTGTTGAGTACGGAAGGTATCTGAATTCAATTAGGTTATTAAGGAATGCATCGAAGCTAATTTTATTAAAGCAACTAATAACTGCAGTCCAATGATATACTGCAGGAATGTTTTACCAGTTTTAAACAGCTCCTCCCAAAGGCCTATGTATACATGTTTTCAATAAATACCTGCATGAATGCATGTTGACGAAGAAAATACCTTAAATTATAAACTACAACTGATGTATAGCTGCTTGATAGTTTCATAATTGTTACCTATATGACTGACCATGAATTACTCAATGCATTTATGTATAGTTATACTAGATCTATTCCAAAACATACATCTTACCATACATTTACCAAGTGAGTCAGTAGCTTTTCTCAAAAAAAGTCAACTTCATATTCCCATGCATACTGAGCCAGAGAGAAACCAAAATAAATTCCAGATCAATAACATGCACTATTCTTTCTAGTTGTGGGTTATTGTGCTTACTATATCTAGCTGCATGCATGTGAATGTCTTTTTAGATGGGTCACGCTCATGGAAAAGCAATACCATGTTTGCACACAAAATATATATATAATGCATGCATGCATGTATAATATTTTGTATGAATATAATGCTATTAGAAATATTGCAAAATAAATTTTGTTTTTTCTGGAATAATCTCAAGCTGAGAAATAAGTAAACTTGATCCGGTGTACAACGTGCATGGTGATGTACGCAATTTGGTTTCATAACATTTGAATGGCTCGCGATAATTGTGCCAAACGTGATTCGGAATCTACTCAGTATGTCTGAATAGTTGGTCTGAACAGTTATGCAACCATAACTTTATAGTAATACAGATAAAAAGATACCTTAGAAAAATTCATTTAGAAGAACATGAAAATCGTCAGTATACACAGCGAATAGAGAGTTATAGACAACTGTATTTAATGATCAGTTTAACGCAAATTTCCTGACACCATTTCCGCGCAAATATAAACGATCGTTTAGCGCGATAGATAACGGGAATTGATAAGGCAATGCATGTTTCATGTTGTGTAATGAATAATATCCGTTATTTCTTGCAAATATGCAAATACAAATACACATGCCAGAAAGATTACGATGGATTTAAGGGGTGTGCAATGCAACTTGCACAAGATTTAAAATTTGAGATAATTCAAAGACTCATGCATCTTCCTATGCATCGGTTTCTGTGTTTGTATAGAATGCCATTATATGTATATGTGCATGCGCAAACTATATTGCCGTTAGATTCAGCTATATACTACATATATATATACTGCCTGCATGGGAATACTGAAAAATGCGTTAGCTAGAGATTAAAATAGGAAGGTTCAAAGCCAAGGGATTAACTTTTTTTACAAAGCAAGTGCTATATGTGAACCATGAAACGAATTGTAACCTGAACTTATCTACATGCACGCTTCTTATCATCTAAAAATATGCTCGAAAGCGTGACCAAAAAATAGCGCGGCGCGCAAGGGAATATTTTACTTGCACGCTATATATCTTTAACTGTATATTATCACTTAATATTATCTCCTAATATGCGTGCGCCTTCGTTACAGAGAAGCAAATGCTACCTGACTGTTGCCGGTCTAAAGACAAGCAAAGGAACAAATTCTCTTTTTTTTGCATTCTAAAATGCTAAATTTAAGCCGAAAGTGTGATAAACACCCGCGTTTAACAGTCGCATCTTGTTTAATCTCATCAGACTATTTTGGAATATCTATTCCTTTGATAAATCTTTCTGAATATGAAACACACTGCAACGGTATTGTATACACCAAAGGTAAAATCACTGTGTAGTCAATTCATTTAGCTGCGTGACCAACTTGTAAAAGCTTACATATATATACATATAACTAATACCTTCCATATATATATATAAAATCTCACACTTACCGAAGCTAAGGATACTAAATTCCCCGACCAAAGGATCGCGCTCATTAGAGTTATTCTTATCGCAAATCCTGATGACATTTTATCTTGGGTCGGTAATTTGTCACGCGGTTAAACACTGTAGTCTACAAGTCTTCCTTGTTTGACACGGAAACTGTACAAGAATTTCTGTACACTTCTTTCTTTATAGTCCAGGAAAACTCCAAGTATTTGTTCTGGGCCTTTCCTAATAATAAAACAGTCGTCAATAGCAATAGCTTGTAATCCTATCATATACTTTGTTTAAGGACTGTTGCAGTTTCAGGTTACTATGTAGCGACGCCATTCGTCTATAAGGAGATGGTTGGCGATTTAGAAATATTTTAAATCAATTAAATCGGGTTATTGCATGCAGCGCTCCATGAATTTTAAGCTATCGTGTTACAGTGTAACACCAGATGTTTTTAAGAGGCTGAGAGCGTGTCTAATCGTATTAAAAAACGTGCCAGGAACAAAACCAAATTTATTATTTTCAACTCTAGAACTTTTAATATCAAACAGAAATTAGAGTTGTCAGTACAAGTTTGAAAATTAAGAAATACTCTTTTCGAATAGAGAAGATGTTTTAGTCAGCCCGTTTAATTTCCCTGACGTTTCTTTCAACTCTAAATTATCCTATTGGGGTTTATAATAAATGGCTTGTTTGTTTGATACAGGCAAAAATTGATATTATAAGCTCAAATCTAAGCTCTTCCTGATCGATTTTATTCAATCTTACTCGCTTCATTTAGTCACCTCATCTTAAGCTAGCATGCACTGAAAACATTATATAGATATTAGGTGAAAAATTTTGATTGTATATATAAGATACGTTATTAATTGTTGATAATGGCAATTTTATTTAATTAATCTTAGCAATAGCATTCATCATTTAATTCAACAAAGCAGTAGTTTTTCACGATGAAAATATCCATAATTTTGTATCGTTAAGTATAAAAGTCTTACTGCATGAATTGCTTTTCATACACACAACGAGAATTTTATCATTGGAATACGATTGACTAATCAGATAATGTCTTTGCTGTCAATGTTTCTGAAAGATCTGTGGTTAATATATGAAACAAAAATTGAAAAAGAGAACATCTTGAACAGTTGAAAACAAGACGTAGCCTGTACCTCGTTAAAATGGCTGGGAAACGTACATATATTACAAACTTAAAATCTGACGTGTTGAATATATAGTATAGTAGCCTATATTAGGCTTTCAAGATGTTTTTTTTATTTGTTTACATCCCTTATTCAAAAACTGAATTTTTCCTTTTAAGCTTCTGCATGGCTGAATGATATTCAAATTTTGATCGCATGCCATTAATCAGTTGTCGATTTAATCAATAAGGTTATCAAATTAGGTAAAACATCAACACTAGTAGCAGAGCATGTGTTTCCATTGTTTATATTACCCAGCCATGTTTTGAAAGTCTCCCAGCAGCGCGAGTTCGACTGTCATTGCTGTGCTACGGGCGAAAATTGTTTACATCCCAGCTATATGGCATCAACATGGAATCTGGTTTTAGTTTGTCTTCAGTTGCGTAATAATGTGAATCTGTTTCGTCACACAGCTGTTCGTAAATGCATTTATCATTGACTATAGCGTGCCACTATCGAGCATCCCAAGTTTCAACCGAATGCGTAGGTTCAGATACAGTGACTGGAAATGCGGCGGACAGACCAGTCCTGTTGTATTTCAGTACGGACAGATTTTGCATGCATGCATGGTATAAATACAGGTCTCAAAAACTCAGGTATAGACCCTGATACATTGTTATTTACATCTGCCATGCAATAGTACGAAAAATGTAGTTTCACTGCTATTTTCTCAACAAAATACTGCTGTTTTATTGGCCATTTTGGTCGCTTACAAAGAAAAGCGTCGATAAAGATGATAAAGATCCCAGCCATGCTTGTGGGTGCTTGTAATGTTGAAGGCACACATGCAAACCTAGCGCAGGACATCAAATCCCAGATGCATCATGCATGCCAGCATGGGGGTTATTATTGTACCATACAGTTTTTTATGGCTAGTTTTGGAACATAATATACAAAACATTCTTAAACCTCAGTATTTAGCAATGATTTTAAAAAGCATGCAAACCGGCAAACCACAAGACTCGTATTGGATTATAATAAAAAGTTATTGTTTAAAAACAAAGGAACCGCACCGCATGTCCTCCGCTTATAAGAGCGCAAAAAGTGATAAATATGTAAATGTTAAATTTGTCATCGCAAAAATTTAGACTTAAGGGATGACTAACAGCAGAGAATCTACTTCCTATAAATGCAATTTTTCACTGGATTTGGGCATAATAGTTTGCACCCATCATCCATTTCGCGCTCAGAGTTCAAGGTTAACTGTTTAGAAAAAAATTTTTTATTGAATTAGCTATTAATTCTGGGCAAATACGTGACTATATATAAATACATGTATAGTATAATGCATGCATATTTGTTTGCTAAAAAAAAACAATGAGCATGTCAAAGTCATTGATGTATTAGATAATTGGTACGTGCGTGTGTGTGCAGTCAACAGTGACTAATTTTAAATACAGAAAAAGAGATATTCAGTTCCGGACTATTTTAAATGAGTGAAAATGATTTTGGAATTCTACACCGTCAGCAAATATAATAAAAAAATAAATTTTTTTAGAAACTGAATATATGTATGAAGATATTTATATCGACAACTATAGTCCGTTAAAATCAGTTTCTCCTCAGTTCAGCTGTGATGATTTTTTCTGAATGAACTCGCTCAATGACAATGTTAGATTTCGAAATACCCCTAGGCCTTTAAAATACATATGACGAGGCTGTTAAGTCGCCTTGGTTTTAAGCTATAAAGATTGATGAAAATCATTTGATGCAGTCAAACAATCAGACATTCAAGATTGGCCTAATTAATGACACTTGGTGGAAATCCAAAGTAAACCAATTATTTTTCGCTTATTTAACCATATTTACCTGTTATTTAATATGTAAAAGTTGAGTAAATGAGTAAATGTTGCTTTTAATCGCGTCTGCTTATGTTTAACTTGATCGATTAGGTCATCGATTTGTATGGTCGCCATGTTGGTGAATTGATTTTGTGAATATCCACTCGGAAATTGTTTTCACTAAACACGTTTAAAAAAAATGACAAAAGAATTATTTTTTCACTGGAATTTGGCTATAACACTTAATTTTTTGTAAAAGTAAAAACAAAATAGTTACTCAACCTGAGTCTCAAGGTCATGTCTCTCAGACTCCATAAAAGGAAATCTTAAACCGAAGGAACTGCATATGGCCTGGAGTATTTTTCCGACCGGACAAGGATCAAAGACTACATATATAAAGGGCAAAAATATGGAAAATCTTTTCTCACTTTATATATAGAATTTCATTTCTGGAAATTACCACGTTTTTGTTTTGAAAAGATGTAGCGTCTATAGTTTGACTTGTGGTACTGCGTATATATTAAGCAGTGAACAATTTACCTATATGTATATGTATATTCAATCAGACAGTCTAAAAGTCGAAAGGTATCAAGTCAACAATTTATATATTCCTTCATTATGAAAGTCTCAATACTCTTGTCTGGCTGACTGGCTCCCTATCATAAGACCCGTTTACATGCACTTTTGCTGCGATTTATTTTTCTTCTTTTGATAAATTGAATGAAAGTCGGTTAGCGCTATCCACCGGATAGTGACTTTTCAACCGTTTTAAAATGCTCGAAGAGCAGTAAAATTTCAGCTTTGGAACCAACAATTGTTAAAGAGGATCCTCAATTTAGGAATACTAAGATTTATTTTAAACTTATACCATACAACAGGCGATTTTAAAGCGATTTAAAAATATACTATCCGGCTTTCGTACAACCGGCCCCAGAGCATTAGTAAGTATAGTCACTCGTACCTAAACTTGCAACTGTGAAAGCGAGGCGTTTATGTCGTTTTATGAGTCCCACATATATAGACCCATTCGAAAAAAGAGAGAAAATTCTTGAGCCCCGCGCGTGGCGATTTTATCATCTTGCAATTCAGTCAACTCTACTGACCTCGTTTTAACGTATAACTTTCAAAAATTCTCCCAGAGCTATATATACATGCTGCCCCTTCCTGACCCCAACTCGTTGGAAAAAAACAGAAATCAATTCGATTTAAGGTGTCCTGTAGCCTAAAACAGATTGTTTTCATTCTTCAAAGTAATCAGCTAGCCTGCAGATAGAAATAAACACTTACAACATTTCTAAGATGACCAGCTTGCACTGCTCAGCAACGCTATCAATGGATGATGCTACGCTCCGTACTCAAATTAATTAGTGTAAATATTTTTGTCATTGTAACCTTGACAACACAACACAGAGTACTTATGGTCTACACCCGTATACTGCCAATTTTCTAGAAAGAAAGGAAAAATCCCGAGAGTGCATTTGAAGTTTCCGTAATAGGCGTTGAAATCCTGACGGCATCCACTGGTGTTCATGCATATGTTTTAAAATCATCACTTTTAGTTATGAAGCCGCGAAAAATCCAATCAAGCTGTTATAGCTACAGCGGAAGTCGTGTTATAGAAACGTACACCTGGTCTTATAGATGTGAAGCTATTTTCAAGAACGGGAACTGGTCTTAAACGGAAAATCATGCAGCTTTCTTTTGGGAAAGATTAGTTCCCTGTCGGAATTTGTCGGAAGGGCCGAAAAGTCTTGAATTTATCCGTCCTAAAATTCAGTAAACTAGGCTCATAAATGAGCCGCCTGTCTGTAATATGAATTCAGATATCGTGTCGTTAGTTCGATTAGAGTCAATAAAACGCGTGCCAGAGCCACGTAAAGCCTAGCTATGCATGCATGGGCAGGATATAGCAGTGTATGCATTTATGAAAGTTTTATGGAATCGTTGATATTGATTATAGGGTCCAATATAACCAGGGAGCAGCGTGGCAGCGTGTTCAAACAACTTAGCATCAAATGTGGTATAACAACTGCCTAAAATAGACAAAACACTTCTCAAAAATAGCCCGCAATGAGGGAAGCCTGATCAGCAACGAAAACGTATTACAGCCTGAACCAGCATTGATGTAGACAAAGAAATGGGAGTCATATTACTTTGGGTGAAGTAGCTTAAATGAAAGAGAGTCTTTCATTAAGTGTTGGCAGTTGTTATGCCACATTTTTAGGCAGTTGTTATACCACATTTGATGCTAAATTGCATGGGGATTTGATAATACGAGAAGAATCAGTCTCTCACTCGAAACCGCCATAACCATCCTATATATTAGGCTAGCGAAGATAAGCGACTTAGTACTCTTATAGACTCAGCTATTGTTAGACGTTCTCCTTGCATTCAATATAATCAAGATTTAAGTTGCAGGCAGATCGACTCCCACATGCAGGATTGTGCATGTGCATATAGAGTAAGATTAGTATACGTACTGTGCTGAAGTAGGTATTGACGTAAAACTCAGATATTAATTCATTCAAGACCTTATATATACAAGACAGGGACCGCGGAGCAGGGTGGCTCGCTGGGTTTTAGCCCCGCCAATAATTTTTCCGTAATTAGTCTTTAATTTCGAATATTTTTTAGTCAGTTCAAATTTACAAGCAATTTTTTTTAGCAATTTGTATTTTTTGCTTACAAGTGTAAGCAGTAGTATATCTTATCTTGAATGTTATTGTAATTTTTACTTCTTTTATCTGTCGTAATAAATCCGCTACATTGACTATATACAACAGCATCGTGAGTGGAACATATACATGCATGCATGATTATGAGTAATTACCCCGTGCAACAATAGTTTTACATGGAAATGAATTGAAATTAGTTATTTTTAGCATCAAATGTGGTATAACAACTGCCTAAATAGAGTAAAATAATGAAAGAGAGTCTTTCGTGTCGAGATATATGGCAAGTCACATATATTATAGTAGATATTCACTATTTAGGCGGTTGTTATACCACATTTTGATGCTAAGTTGTTTGAAGACGCTGCCACGCTGCTTCTTGGTTATATTAGTAATTTTTAGCCATTTCAGAGGCCTATATTTCAAAATTTTCCAGGAGGCCGGGCATGCCCCCGGACCCTCCATAGCAGCCCTAGCAATACGAAAAAGGCTGCGCGGTCCCTAAATTTAAGGATTTGCTTCAACTTTTTGGAAATAGGTTGGGGTAGTTGCCCCTCTTTCTTCTGGTTTCAACCGACTTAAAAGTTGATGAATGCCAAAACTAAGGACATGCATGTATGCATACATCTCACTTATGCCTACTTTACCGTGGTTTATGAGATAACCCCCCACTGTGCCGCGAATATTTTTATGACTCAATTTATGGGATAAACCGGCATATTATATAGCGTTTATTGTACAGTCTGGTGAGAACAAATACAAAATATTATTACCTAAATCAGACTGATACGTATATAATTATAGAGCTCCTTTCTTACTTGAACTATATACAGTCCTACCTTGATCCTATGATTGGATTGATTCACAAATTCTGTACTGTGAGACCAGCATGCGACATGATAGGATGATTAGGATTGGACAAGTATCGCTGATTTGAACTCATATCATACATGCATGCATAAAGTAAACGAAATAGCTACTAATACTATATATAATATATATGTAATATATAAATAAGTTATACTGTTTTCAATTTAGACTTTCACTTTAGCTCATTTTCGAAAATATATATATGCTTTCCGCTTTCGCTTTAAAAATACCATATCTTGCGGACGCTGGATCAGAAGACATAATATAATTCTGCCTTCATATATTATTATTAACAGCCGAAAAGCTGGCGACCAAATTCAGATGTATATCTATAGTCAGTATATAGCTACGAGGATTTCGTCAAGAAATTCTAGATTTTCAAGCAGGGATGTTTCTAATAATTAAGGTCCAATAATAACCAATTCTGTGGTAATACTGAATTGGATATTATAAATGCTGTGGAGCGAGAGAGCGTTGCAGCATCCTAATTTGTGATTTTTCCAGAGGCATAATTTGTGCAGAAGAAAGTAAAAGTTTTTAACATCGCGTTCCATTTGATGCAAGCGCATTCAATTCTCTCACTTCGGTCTTCGCTACACGTTCTTTTACCGTAAATTGCAATTAAGGCATGCTTTTACCGCTGCTCGAGGGACTCTCAGTACTATTAGTTAATGTGTGACTTACAGTTCCATAAACCTAATTTCATCAAATACAATTTTGCAATCAATGTATATACAGTACGCCTGTGATTTCTGTCTCGAGATCTACATTTACGTACTGGAGTACGAGCGCGTTCAGAATTTCTGCGTGCACTAAGCAAATAGGCCAATGGCGTATGAGATACATGGCAAGTCACATATATTGAGTATGTATATATACGCGGTGGGATGGATTGCATCAGTGCGTAATCTGACTAGTAGAATTCGCCAATTACGTAAACCCTATAAATGTACATGATTCATGTCTTAATGCTGAGCAGTTAGAACCTTTCTTGAAGCAACGTTATGATTACATCAATTTTACCATTTCCTCAGCTCTGCATGCAGTCAAAAAATTTAATTTTTAGCTCTTTATCTTCACTGGTCATGCACCTGCACAGGCCCGGTCAAATACTATATATGCATGCATACACCATGATCCCCTAAATGGGTAACTATAATGTCAATGCCGAGAATGCTGTGCCTCATGCATGGTTCTTACGAAAACTCGGTCTATCGGTCGGATCGATATGCTGTAAAAACCATATTTACTACCTTCGAGAAGACGGTCGATTTGATTTCCGAACTAGGATAGTGTACATTGGATATAAATAATGTATTGCATATTGACCTTAAAGTTAAGAGTTGGTGCATGATCTGATGCAACAAAGTTTCGGCTGAAAAGGGCACGCAACGTACAACTATAGTATACAACAACCATGCATATATAGTTTATCCTGATTAGCTATACTGGAAGCGATAAAAATACAAAATCATAAGAATTTCTTCCATGTACCCGTAGTCGTATGTATACCTGAAAATTTTCCTTGTAACTCGCGTCACTCGAATATATAACTTTTCGATTTCTTCTACGCGATACAATAACAAAACTGACGACGATGGTTGAAGGTTGGCAAGTTCTAAAATGCAAACAGAATGATATTTGCCCAAATGCCTTCTAAATATAGGTCCGCGCGAGTTTACGTCAGTAAATATGGATTGTTTGCCCCGCAAATTTCCGAATTTTAATGCATTTTAAATGAAATAAATGTGTCAACGTTCGAGCGGTAAAAGCATATACAAATTATGCATGACGTGTCTGGCTCTTTTGACTTTTGATTGCTAGGGAAAATAAGCAAATATTATGATAATATTATCGCTATCTGGGTCTCTAGTGAAGTAGAATATAATCATGTACAACTGTTGGCAACGCATTTTTGGACACGGTGCAATAAAACAGTGAATGCCTTTGGCTATGAATTTATGAATGGAAGGCGCAACTATAACTCTGCCAGGATGAATTTGCGTGAAAAATACTTCGTGCATGGCTGAACATGCAGTAGAACGTAATCGAATTGCTAGGATGGATATCCCCAGAGGGCGAGTTCCAAATGTGTGATGCATGAGGGTGCCTCCCAAATGAGTTAGCGACCTGAAGCAAATGAACTTGATTTGGATGTTTGCATGGACAAGAACTATGCTGACCCACCGGTACAAGAGCTTCTGTTTCGAGTAGATAAACTAACTCATAACACATGCATGGACATACGCAAATAAAAATGGATCAGGTTGTTCACAGTATTAAGGCCCGTCCACACACCCGTCCAATTTTTGCTTCCATTTTATGTGCGATATCCTTCTTTTGGTTGATGTGAAACAGTGAATTAGTGATGTTCAACGAGAATCGCACATAAAAATCGCAGCAAGTAACGGTAAAGTGTAAAGGGGCCCTTTATGCATCCGAGGGTATATTATCATATTTTTTTATTGCAAAAACTGACAGCTAATTTTCTCACGCACTGTAAAATTTTGGGGCGCATACTCCTGATATCAATTTTGAGAGAATATGTGTTTAAATGTATTTAATTACTTTCGGGTTTTCATTATGTAAGTAAGTTATTGTGATTAAAGAGACGAATTCTAGAAAAAGCATTTTTTTATAACAAAAGCGGCACTTTTAATTTGATAAACATGCACGAAACAATACATGAATCATAAAAAATCTGCAAGCTTTTTGTACAAAATTTCTACCAAATGAACGAACGTTTATGAGCGATAAATCTTCACTTATTATAACTTTAGTCATTAGGTACTTAACTGGAAAAGGTCCGATCAATTGGTCCTTATATATTCTCATCGACTATAATTATGGTATATTCGCTATTATTTAAAATCCGTCAAAATTAGCAAAAAGCCACCTGCACGCTGACCTCTTCGTAATGTCACTAACGATAGGCTTTCTTTGACATAGTGGACATGAATTTTGCATTGATGTTACAATATTAATGAAAATTTTCATATCGGACACCTCTGAAGGGGTCCAATTTAGCAGTCAAGAAATAGATCTGAATATGGAGATATTGCTTTCAATGAAGGTTAGCTATATTATCTGAAAGTTAATTATTCTAAATCTCAAGCTTTGCAATAAACGAGTCTGACATGTTTCTTGTTCAATTTATTCTTTCATATCTACGACAATCCTTGTTTAAAAAACTTGCATGACCGGTTGAACTATGTATAATTGTCAAGCTTCCATGCATTCAAAAGCTTTGTCGTTCAATAGCTTTTTATTTTTGCCGCACACAAACGGAACGGAAAAATTCCTTGTCATTTTGCGGGGTTTATATAATTCTTTCTATCTGAGAAGCTCGTGCATGTAAACTCATAAAATCGCTGTGATTTAATCGCATGTAAAGCTCTGTGAAAGGCTTGCCGTCTATTCTGTCCTACAACATAATTTTTAAGAGTAATAAGCCGTAACATATATCTCCTGTTATGTTTTAATCTGTTATAATTTCAAGGAAGGCCGACTGGCGATCTAATTTATACAAATTCAGTTGAACTTTGTGCCGTGTTGTGTATAAATTAATTAATATGCTCTGGTTGGCATGGTCGGGATCATAGTATATATATATTAATTTCTAAGCCATGGCAATAACGCGATCAAACAAAATAAACAATTTCTACCCAATATACATCACTTCATAATGCTTTATTTTAAAACTAGAGCCTCGTAACATAAAAAATACTCACAGTTTCCAGAATATGCAGGTATATATATATGTAGTTGAAATTCCGACGCTGATTATGACTGAGTCATGCTGAGATGTAACGCGCAGACCGTAGCCCCGGTCTTCCCTGAATATCTTCATGCAGGTACTCTGAATACTAAACAGGATCAGTATCCGAGAGACGCGGAAACCCTTTCATGTGCTGGAATGAGGAATTCAACCCTGCCCAGAGATCGTCCGTAAACAAAGATAAAGCCTGTATTAATTTAGCCGTATTTTTAGTAGCCGTATTTCTTCTATAACTCCTATGAACCTATAATCATTTGGTTCTGTATATATTGGGTGGTGCAAAAAAATTACGACAATTTGATTCAGAAAAAGACGAGCCGGAAAATTATACATATACATAATATCATAATCTAATTAATTCTTCAGTTTTGGTAACATACTCACGCAGCCACCTCTTATATATAATTTATGTGCCCTCTAACGGAAAAACAGGTACTTGTCATTTTATATATGACAGAATTCATTACAGAATTTACACTGATCAAAATCCACGTACGTGCAGAAGTCAGCCGATATTTACAAGTATCCATGATGAGTCATTGGGTGTTACTAAGTAAATTATAGCAATGTTCTCTGCGGTTTTGGGCTGGGACCTCTGCTGCGGATACGGTGGAGGCGTGGGTTCCAGTCTTGCCGGAAGACATGAATTGCCTTTTCCCAAACGTTTCTTCGTTTTAGTAAATTAAGTACACCACGTAAGTATTTAATACTGCAAAGCTTTCGGTCCGTTAACCCGCCGGCCTTCATGCATCAACATGCAATTACTTAATGAGGGCCCGGGTTTGCGAACCGAATGCTTTAAATTGCAGTGTTAAATATTTACGTGATGTACCTACAAGCTAATTTACTTATATTTAATGTCACGATGCAAAATTACAGGAATATTATTTCTTCGTTTATTCCTGAACTTGCAATACTCTGATCTTTCGTCCTCCTAATAAACATGCATGCATGTATATTTACAATGCGAGTCTGACGACGAAGTGGGAGTTTTTCTCCAAAATATTATGAAATCCGTTTTAATACATTACTTTATACAGGCCTATATAGGCAGGTCAAGAGGAATACTTTCTCTCCTTTTAAAAAAGCTTTAAAATACTCTTTTTCGCATGAGTATAGACTAATAGACTATATAAAGAACCTCAATACACTAATCGGATAAAGTGTATTATGAAGTGTTCTTTGGTACTATTCGTCAGGTTTAATTAAATGTGTGCTCAGTTAAACTCGTTTCATTTCAGTGATTATTAAACTGTTTATATACATGCATGTAGGGGCCGGTTGTTCAAAGTTAGGTTAGCGCTATAACCCTGCATGCATGGGTTAAATCTTACTGCGCTGTTTTGGTTTATATGCTTCTGCACCGCTGTTTGTTTCAAGACTTTACAAAATAAGACTTCAATTCATCCTCAAAATATTTATGAGAAAACCTGTTCAACTTCATAAACAAGCGATTAAAAAATTTGATGTGAAAATTTGAATTATAACCGAAAATGATAACCCAGAATGATATAATTATTGCTTCAAGCCGACTGTAAAGCTGTGCCTATCACAGAAACAAGGGCACCATGCATGGAATATATTTGCTACACTCGGTATATATATGCATTCGTATATATGTATAGTGTTGTATATTGCATGGTTTCATTTTTAAAAGGTAAGTATATTTTCACCAATGCAATATGATAAACTTAGGAAGACCTACTTATGTGGGTTATTTACTAGAAATTTCGAAAGTCCACCGTAAAACACCACTTTTTAATGCAATGCGTGCGATGGGTGAATATCTATATGCGACATGCATGCATATATACATTTTACTTTTAGCTTACGACTTGAATAACAATTTTACTAATATTCTGCGAACTTTCTCTATGCTGATAATAGCTACGGAGTAACAGGAATTATTATGCATAATTATTGTGTACTATATAGACTATATGTGATTGCTTGGTGCAAGAAGATGCACTAGCAGTCTAGCATGGTTATTCTGGTCACAAAATGTATTTCATGCTATATCATTTCAATCAACAGTTTTCTTTGAAGCTCATGGACTCAGCCCCTAATACTTTGTTCTCTATAGCTATATATCCTTTTAGTCATTGTCCGCCAAATGTAGGAGGATACTCAAACATAGTTAAATACAATAGCACATGTCATGTTACCTTGTGTGTTATCCTATGCATAACAGACTATTTGCTTTATAATTCTATACCAAACTGATCCAAAAGTCAGTCCATTTCAATTGCCTCTACAGTACTTGTATACAGGTTGTAGCAAATTAGTTGGGCAAAACATGTGGACACCCATGATTCATTTCTTTAATTATACTGTGATTTATATGATCTCTCATTGTGATATATAATCAGGATATTGGCCCCATATGCACACTTGTGATGCAAATTTCATTGTGATCCTTTCTATTACCGCTTTAGTACAAAGTCTAAGTCTAATGTTCAATATTTCATTGAATATATAGGTATATTCACTAAATTCAACACACAATAGCATGTCTACAAATTAATTAAACTATATACCTACGATTATACATTACATTAAAGTTTGAAAAGTGCATGAGATACTTTCATTTAGTAATTTTAAAAATACAAAAATATTTCAATGCGGGTTTAATATCCCTTTTATAATTGTAGGAAGTTTAAAATTGAATATATATGTAAATATGTAATTATATATAGCAATTATAGGTTGTTTTGTAAACATGGTATTATATGCATTGATTTTTTCGATATATTCAGTCGCATGTTCAAAGAAATGTTGACGATTGAAAATATTGACGATTTAAAATGGCAGAGAGGTTTATCACCGTAAAATCCGCTTAAAAGAACCGCTTTGTGCTTAAATGGCTAATGCATGAATTTGTGTATGATCGATGATAAAGGTGTGGCCTTTTTAAAGTTTAGGTATTTGGGGTTTCTCTTATTTCCTGCTTTTTATATAAAGGTTTTTATTGCTGCCAAAATATAATTTTAAGGTTCGGAAGAATTGTATCATGAAATACAGAGCTATCTATATATTCGTCGTCATTATCATGCAGGAAATAAACTGTCATGACCAATATTGATTGCAAATTTATGACCTTTCCGTTTCAAACTCCCTTCGCCTTCGGATTGATTGTTTTATTTGTTTTCAATCTATATAGGTTTGTTTCGGCATTTAGAATTATTTTTAGGTTGTGTGTGCATGTGATGAAATATTATAGTTTACTTCTTATGCCTTCCGTACGATTGAAAGCCTCATGCATCCACAGGTAGCGAAGCAACTCTATTTTGAAGGGCGCAACGCTTTTAAAGGATTTCTTTTGTGTTTGAAAACAGATACTTTACTATTGTTTTAGCAAAAAAGGACTCTTTGAAAGAGACCCCATTAATTTGTAAACCCCCTTGTGGTGCCCAGAAGCGTACAAAGTTTGTTTTGTGATGCCCTGTAGGGATATTTATCGGCGAAATTCCCTAGGTGACACTGAATCAATCAGGTGAGTCAAAAGATTCAAGAAGACCATCAACGATTATAGGAGACCAGCTTTGAACAATTGAGCGACTGACTGACAGGCTAGGAGCAGATATAAATCAAACAAACATATACAGTTTTGTTTATATTGCAACAGCTCAAACCTGCATGGATCAACAATAAGTTACCCCTATATATATAGTAAGGGCCAAGGACAACAGATTGCTATATATACGACCTTCGTTTCATGTGTAAATTTATCTCATATAGCTACAATAAAAAATCTAGCCATTGGTGGCCATACGGTTGTCGAGGAACACACGCTATAAACGTTATGAAGGAACCATTGTATACACAGGAAGTGAGTCATTGGTATTTGTGGCGCCATTTTAATGAAGATTTAAGGGTATGCACTTGATCAAAGTCTCAGAATATCATTATCTCTGTTGGGAATCAATTTGACGTCGCAGCATTATATTGAGTTTTACAAAATGCTATGATTTTACAAAATGCACTATGCTATCATTATATGGCTATATATATTTAGATATCTTTATTGCTTAGGTGAGTTAGGTCAGTATAGTTTGCAAACACAAAATTGGTATCCCATGCACATATAGACGGCCGGGTACTTACAATTCAGCAACAAAGGAGCGAATTACTTCGTACGGTGTTGACTGAGGGTTTTTTAAACTTCCCAGTAATCTCTAAAAGATCCTTTAGACTACTAAAGTTCACTCTAAACTATCTAAATGTGAGAAAACCTTGGTCGGTACGTACCTATATGAACAAGCTTTACTCTTGGTTGATGATAACAATAAAACACAATGAACTATAGAAATTGATTTCTAAAATAACGAATCATAAACACTGTTCACTATTCTTACAAAAAGCCAATCACAAAACCCGTTCATATAAATCAGGTAGATACTTACTGGAAAATCTCTATGATTTAAATCCATAAAAAAAAACTCTAAATCAGTTCACATGCATGCAAATCTCAGCCAAAAAATCCTGAAAGCTCTTTGTAAATATCTGTGAAAATTGCACACCTTTTTGACATTAAATTTGACATTTATTTTCAAAATCTGTCAAGCTGCTTTAAAAATCATGCATATATATAACCGTACTGATCAACTGATGAGATATAACAATGAATTAAGGATAATCATTAAAGTTGTTTTCGGTCATCGTGTAAAAGTAATGTTTTTGTGTCAAGTGGATTGAAGTGCTAACGTCACACAGATTTCAAAATACGTATTTCACAACAAGGCTATTTTCCTCCACGCGTCGTCCCACATGCAGTCCAGTGCGATTCATTGTTTGAAGCTGCCGTGACGTAGGCACTCTCGTTTGTGTCATATTGTAATAAAAACTTGTGCAAAAGCATAACGATATTTTGATGAGATTAGTCCAGTTGTGAATGTTTGTGATTTGATTCACATCATTTTCCTCATTATATATATAAGTTCCGTTTACAGTACACTCAATATATTGACACGACAAGGGCTAAAATGTAAGTACGGCTGCATGTACCCAATTTCATTCGTCCAATACAAAGACCGAGCACGGATGAAAATGGTACGTGGCTGCGGGTACCCATTTTAGCCGTACCGTGCGAAATATTTGAATGCATTGTTAACGCAGCTATATTATCAAAATCAGCTTTTTTATTCGGCCAAAATTTCCCTGATAAGCAGACGACAGTGTTTTAGGCAGATCAATGGCTAAGCTGATTGAACTCGTGGGAATGTGCCTATTGTTATAAGTTATCTTTAGCGCCTGGTACGAGCCTGCTAAATCCCTAAGATTAGTTACCTTCTGAGGTCAAGATCCGTTTTTTACTCATTAGGATAACGTTTTCGTACAGTACACAGAAAGATGAAACCAACAGCATGCATAAAAAATACTGCCCGCCGTGAAAATATTTCCGGCTCAATTTTTTCCGAAAATAAAGAGGAAATATCGTATCTGGCTATGACACGAGCCTAACTTTTGTATAATCTTATTTAAGCTTGATTCTGCATTTAATTCTCAAAATCAAAGATTTTTCGATAGATATATTGGGGAGAATTCTCCAGGGGGAAAACCCGAAGGTCGTCCGATTTTGAATTCAGTTTTTATCTTGTCAAAAAAATATCAGCTTACAATCGTGGAATTCTGAAATTTGTCCTTTTGATCTTATTTTACCGCTAATTTTTGTTTATAAATAGGCCAAAACTGGACTTCTTGCACGTAATAATTATGTTGCAATACAAAGAAGGCAAACAGATATTTTATATATAGACTGTCACACGAATGACGGAAATTGTTGGCTGCCGTAACATCAACCATGGAACGAGTTCCTGCACGTTTTCCACAAAATGTCGTAACTATAATTCATGTTGCCTTTTCACACAACTGAACCGATATTGCAATTAACCTATGTTAAGCATCATGTTTACAAGAGTGAAACACGTAACCAAAATTAGATAAATTATTAATTAAATAATAGAAATCCCTAATATGGAGAAATAGTAATCCACGTTAATTTTTTTCTGTCACTCCTTTCTGTCTTAGATCGCTATCTGGTAGTTTTCATATAGATCTAAACGTCTATAGTGAACACTGTATGTTAAAAACAAACTGTAATTGAGCTATTCTTATATTCGAGCTGTGATATTTACTTAAAACTGTCTAATAACTCTCCCAAAAAGCTCTGCAGAATATATTGTTCTTCTATCTCTTGACGATATATGTAGTCCTATGACAAATATGGATTGAAACGTATATAAACCGAAGATGAATCATTGAAGTCTGAAGATGAATGTCATTTGTATCAGCTAGTTGCAGACTTGCAGTATATTATAAATCAGTTTTAGCAGGAGGAAATTGGCGTTCCGCCCAAGAAATTCGCAGTATTACATACAGTAAGGTGAAGCACTCCCGTCATTATAGTTGGAAAACACACTTGACTAAAGTCAATAATTGTTTTGTGCGTGTGAAAATATCTCGTTTATTTAGCGCATTACTTGTCCAATCAAAATATTAAATTCATCGAAAATATGGATTATTTGGGACTGTCCTAATTCCAGATTATTACTTTAATGACGGCACATATATTTCAGTGGAAGGATGCCATTTTTCGACAATCTACATGGTGTCCAATTCTCAATGTTTTGCGCTAAGACCCCCGTTTACTCGTAATTCTCACTGGTCCGCTCAAACGCAGTGGCGAAACTGGGGAGGTCCGGGTGTCAAATAAGGGGGGGTGCAGGCTAGCTACAAAAAACCCTAAAAGTATTGAGCACAATTTGAGGAATTAAACGTGTAAAAAAAGAAAGATAGGCAAGCACCTATTGCTTACTGATCCATGGTATGATGATTCCAGAATAAATTGGCATAAAGAGCGCAATCAGGTAAATTTATCCTACTTTAGTGGATCACTGGGGCCCACAAGTTATAACGATTGACGGGTGGCCCAAATTCCCAAAACGGTTGCACTACTGTTCAACCGCTGTGCCCAATATCGTAAGACGAAATCAGGTTCTTGATCAAATACTATATAAGAGTTTAATGTGCATAACATAATTTGAATAAAAATCTGTGCCATAATTGCACCGCCTTACGTTCAGTGGCCTAGCCAGCATCGATAATTGGGGGGGGGGTCCATATTCATATATTCATGCAAAGAGACTGTAAAGACAATTGATTTGAAAAGAAATTAATCCTGCGCATCACGAATATATTAATATGGGCCCCCCAATTATCGTTCTGGCTACGCGGCTGCTTACGTTTTGTTTTAAAGTAATACAAATAACATTACCGTCAAGGATGCATGGGTTTGGTGTCTGATGATTAGA